GAAAATGTAGAAGACGAAGAGTTGTTCAGGGATCAATCTCTTTTTGGCGAAGTCTCTTTCAAAGCTCTACGATAGCAGCTGCGTACAACTCTCTTGAGTAAAGTGTTCCAAGTTGCTTTGTCTAGCGGATATGGTGATAAACGAGATAATTTTTTCATTAGTTAATGACATTGAAATTTACTGAGGTTAAAGACTACCAGCCCTAGTTTAATCGAAGTTAGATTTTTTGACAAGGAGATACACAATATAATGAAATCCTTGAGGAAGATTTATCATGAATAAGCACAATAAACAAGTAAAAGTTGATATTACGTAAAAGTCAACAGACTTGAAGAGGACAAGAGACGATTGGTTTGAGATGAAAGAGATTAGGATCATGAAAGGAGACGAGATTGAGTATGTCTCTGTTGTATGCCTTGCTGTGGATTTTTACCATGTGGATAGTCAAAGCTTCGGTATTAGTACTCAGGCTAATATATACAGCACTTGTCAGGTGCCATCTCAGCTTGAAGATTTTTTTTGAAACAAAAGGTTGTCAAGATTGAGTGGTCACTGTCAACGAGGTGTTCAGTTCCTACACTCTTCATGTAACCACTGCCATCTTTCCTCACCACTGCAGAATACTGCTCTTGAATGTACACACATGAAAACCCTACAGCCTGACAATAGTGTAATAATCAGAATAAACTTTTGATAATACGTAGTAAAGACGTTAACCGTTTTATAAGTCAAGTTTGTTAAGGCACATTGAGAAACTCAGTGACCTTTTACTCTACGAGAAAAGTGTAAAACTCGGGCACTGTGGTAGAATGTAATTCCATATTAGATTTGTTTATTTGATGTATAGCGCACAGTGATACCGTATTATTTACTTGATTACGTTTCGAGCATAAATTATTGCTCATAATCAAATCAATGTAATCACACTTCCTTCGATATCTGATTTTATAGTCCTGTCACCTGATTTTTCTTTTTTTTTGATTGATAGTAAAGTTTTTCATATCTCTGGTATAGGTGTTGCGTCATTCCTATTACATGTGTTGGGTGTGGATTCGATGAACAAAGATTCAGTAATTAATCTCTCTCTCCATCTAGCTATATTAGACTTAAGACTTCAGAACTGCGAGAAAAGTGTTTGCTACTTTTCGTAGATGTTTCATAAAAGTATATTGTTAGCTGATGCCCACTGTAATCATCTTCAATTAGATTTGCAGTAATTATAACTTTGTAGTTTAAAGTGCTTTGTTTGAAGTATACCTTGTATTTATACTTCGTTGGGGGAGCTGGCGTAAATCTCAAATCCTTAGACTATTTTACTGACATGAAAAAGAACCTATTGTAGTTGTAGACTTTTGGACGGAAACTCTTAGATTTCTTCACTGATGGTCAGCCATTTTAAAGGAAATGAAAAGAAGCGATAAACTGATTGAGGGTATATTGCTGAATCAAGAATTCTGCAAAATGTAACGGCATATATATATATATATATATATATATATATATATGAAGTAATTTGGCAGTTGCTTCAACACTACGGAGTGCCACAAGTCTTTATCAATCTCATTCAACAGCTATATGAAGACGCCATATACCAAGTGATCCACAATGGAAAGCTCAGGTCAGTGAAGCCTTTGAAGTGTGGACAGGAGTAAGAAAAAGCTGCAGCCTACTATCACCCATGATCCTTCTTATTGGGTCGACTAAATAGGACTGGACTGGATCATGCAGCAAACCGTGAGGAGCCAGAAGAGGGGCATACGCTGTCTGAACAGATGGAAAGGCCTCAGAAGAAGATTTCGGTTTCGCCAAAGATGATGATTTATGTCTAACGTGTTGACGCATAAACTTGAAGATGTACAGACGAAAACTAAAAGTTGACAGAAGAGGCTGGGCAGCAAAAATGGGACTTCAAGTGAACTTAGAGAAGACAGAGGTAGAGGTGATAAAGATAATCAACCAACATCAGCATTGACTACAAGCAAAAATCACGATGAACTGGAGAGGCCTAAATGAATTGGTCTCTCTCATCTACCCACCTACCTAGGCAGCATCATTTCATCTAAATGCGGCGGCACAAACGAGGATGCCAAAGCCAAGATCGGAAACACAGCAAGACAGGCCTTCCTTCATTAATCTGAAATCAGTGTGGAGATCTACTGCATACCAATGTCAAATCAGTGGGGCTATGTGATGGTGTAGAAACTTCGCTTGTCACAAAACCACTTCCAACAAACTACACACATTCATCAACAGCTCCCACCTATTCTCCCTCATACTGAAGATCAGATCACATGGTCACAATAATAAGATTAATTAACAGGAAACTCACTCTGTCTGGTAACGAACCAACCACCAACCGATCACCCAACAATATGCAGAGGAGGAAATTGGAGATGGGGATGGATTGGGCGTACACTGAGAAGGTTGATTGGGGACATTACGCCTGATGCTGCGAGTAGAATCGAAAGGGAAACGACGAGTTTGACTTTGTAGGTGAGGTTGATATGGAGGAGATGCTGTGAGTGAGGAAGAAATGAAAGCTTGTGGGTGGTGGGTGGTTGAGTTAGTTTGAAAAGACTGTGTCGAACAGAGTGTAATGGAGGCGTGTTACTGAAGCCATATTTTCCACTAGGAATCCAAGGGAAAAAGAATGACAATAATGATAAACACTCATGATTAGACGCGATGAAACTGGTTACTCTCAGGTAACCAATCATTTTTAAGTTTAGTTCACACAACTAAATGGTCCAGTAATTGATTTAATTCAAGTGTCAACTACATTTTTGTTCTAGGCAAAAGTAGAAGTTTTAGTAGATTACGGTTATCGAAAGTAATTCAGATTTCTAGGAGAATGGAAAGACACTGATCTCACTGACTTTCTATGAATTTTGGCTTTAAGAACTGAAAATCAAATGTCATCTTCAAATTATACTGATATTTAAGCCTACGTTAGACATCTTCTACTTCAAGCCACGTAAAAGAATAAAATTGCATTTGCTCATTAATTTCTAAGATTGGCTGTTAACATTTATTGATGATGTAGACCAATTCTAGCTGTTCATTCTCTATAACATTAACTAGGGTAACTTTTAGTATTGCCTGAAATCTATTGCAAAACCATTAGAGATAAGGAACGCCTAGGTAGCATAGTCTTCCTACTTTACGATTGTTCATCAGTGCACATTCTGGACCCTGGATAGAACTGATTCCATGGTCATAAGCTGTTGTATCAAGTATACTACTATTCGGTAACATTTCAGATAGAATTTAGAAAAATGTTGACCAGATTTTAAGCCAACTACATTGCGATCACTATGACACCTAATTTTTATTCGTATTCGTTTTGCTTGAGGTTGAAGAAGTAAACTGTTCAAGAGAATTGAACTAGTAAAAACAAGCTTTCTTCTTCGTACTATGCAGCTAAGGTCATCATTGTAGAGAAGACCAAGTCCATGTTACAGCACAAACCGAAACAACATATAAACGATTACATCACATCCCACTGTGTTTATCAATTTACATGTATATGTGGACACACATATATAGGGAGGAGTAATCGTGATATGAAGTTAAGGTAGGTTGAACATGTACCTAAGTGGTTGGTATCAAAAACAAATGACCTCAACAGATCCGATAAGTGCAGGTGACAAACATCCATCTTCGTCTATCGCTAAACATATACTAGAAACTAACCATAGGATAGACATGAAAACAGCCTTTAAAGTACTACATAAAAGTGATCAGAGCCGAGTGCTTAAATTTATTGAAGCTCTTGCCATCCGTAAATATAAACCCCCTTTATGTATACAAAAACAATTTGTACTCACGTTGAACCTACCTTGGTAGTATTGATTTTAATTTTCATACCAAGAATAAGGTTTTCCTTTTCTATCCCTTCCTATTCCTATGTTTCTCATTAACTTCATTGACCTTCTCGTAAATTTTCATATAAATAGTTCGACAAGTCCATGTGTGATCAGATTGTTCGAAATGTATAGCGCTAATACATCACATGTTTCAGATAATCTTCGTCTTCTCATTACGCTATTTAAATTTATCAAAGGGACCAGTTGCTTTAAACTTTCTTCTAGTGTCAGTAGATGGATTCTGAAAGCCTGGTGAATCACGCATCAGATTACCAACATAGAGAGTTAGGGATTTTTCCTGTTGTGTTGTTAAACAGTCTTTTTGATGATTAGTCTATCATTCAAATTAAAGATATCATTGCTTCAAAATATAAGCCAGAGGTATAAAACTGACTGACGAAATCTCTCACACTGATATATGGGCTTAAGTTACCACACTTCAAAATAGTACACAAAGAACAGGTAAATAGAAGAGAGTGAATACATTTGAGCCATTCGCCCCGATTTTCAACCGCATCACGAAGAGTTCTCAACCACTGGTTCTTTCTGTCTCGTAGACCCCAACCAGGTAGTCCACATCTCCAAGCATGGCTTAGAACAGCAGTCAGAGATTTAATCGACTGACGCCAGGTCTTGGTCTGGCCACCTTGGAAATTCTTCTAATCGAATATAATTTCCCTCAGAATGGTACTTCGAGGTAGGCGGTGGCTTGGCATACGCACTCCATGTCCAAGCCATCTCATTATTCTAAAACACATCGGAAGATCTTTTCTATCTTTCCTCCTAGCTATATTTGAAATTATTGCGTTCTGTCATCTCTCCTTAGGATGTGATCGCGTATATCGATAAGAACATTGTTTTGATCAGTCTTGATGCAGTCCTAACACTATCCTTGTCTGTTTCGTGAGCAGTGCTGGTAGACATCGCTGTCAGACAATGGTATACATCATACAGTTATCCTACTCAACTTCATGACAGCAAAAATAACTTGAAGCAAATGACATACCGTATTCTTAGTATCACTGTTTCCACAGTGAACCTTAACGAAATCACATTTATGGATCTTGTTTAATTGCATCATTTTAACCTTTGTTCAATGTTAAGTTTCTTATTTGTCCAATTTTCTATGTTTAGGCCAGTATATTTTATGGATTGGCAGCGTTTTGTTTACTTTTCATCACAATCAATCGACAGATGATTGAATCCAGTGGTGTTATATTACCATATAATTATAAATGGGCATCTATACCTTATATCGATGAAGATGGAGAGGTATCATTTCGTCGTGTGCTAGTGCCGACATCTTCGACATCATCATCATCATCATCGTCAACAGTACATAAAAGAGGCCCAGAACTAATTATCCCCTTCATTAGTGGAGGTAGTCCAGCCAAGAAATCAGATGAACTTGACTAACAAATAAAAAAGACACAGTATTCAATTCAAATGTAATTTCATATTTTACATAAACACATCAGTTGACCTCTTTGATCTTAAATATACTTTAAAGGGACTATTGTGAGTTTTAATTAAGATGCGGTTATTCTTCATGACACAAATAGTAAAAATTCATAATCGTCTCTGGGATAAACTGACCGCAAGTCGCAATGACTTTTCTGCTACAAGCTGCAGCTTAAAGTGTAGCCCTTGCAGTCTTTATTATGTAAGGACAAATCGATGCCTGACTTGAGTTTACTGAGGCTCCATTCATTTAGGTAAATATGTGATGGTCCAGTCAATCAGTATAACACTTATTCACTGTGTTATCTATTTGCCTATGAAATGTTGTTTACCGACAGGTAATCTGCTCAAGCTCGTTTGCACGCGATTATTATTTCGCTGTGTCAACAATCTTTGATAGGAATTCTTATGACGAGGACAAATAATTATCAAACAGGGTATATCGCACTAGATCTCACTAGTTTGAACCAATAATGGACACAAATCTGACCATAGTTGCAGAAATTCGCGGTTGATGACGAATAAGAAGCTCAACAATCAAGCTGTATAGATATTTATCCCAATTGACCTCTGGCATCTAACAACAAAATGGTTTACTGGTTTCCATGTTCAGATATTTTATGGTGAACCTTTCAGCAGATATCATCACTACCAACTTCATCAAGAAGTTGGTATCATCCTTATCTTTGAATCACTAACAAAAAACTTCAGCACATTATGATCTCTAGGTACATACAGTTATTCTGAAACTATAGAACTGCCATGTAGAAACAGTTATTTTGATCACTAAAAGCCATAGATACACTGAAGGACTACTGAAAGCGGTAGAAAAAACCTGCATACAGAGTTCGAAGTCAATGATTATTCTCTCAAATTCATCAGGATATGATTCTATGTTATAGAGAGGACAATAGAATGAACTCAAATCAGTTAGTTCAATACACTCACTTACTTTTAGAATGTCTCAGAGACTGTCATCCTATTGGTTCATTCATTGAAGGTTGAATTGGGAAACAAACCAACAAAATTCGTGCAAACCATTCGTATATGCTAAAAGATTCGACAATGAATAGGAAACAGGGTAAATATCTCCCACGAAACCAAGTGAAAACGTCATTTAGATTGTGAAGAAAATTCATGAAGTAAAATTAGTGGTATAGCAATCTGACACATTCATGGTTTCAATGCACATAAACAACCACGACTAAACCTTTAACTGAGAAAATGAAAAAGTCACAGAAATGTCATATTCAAAAGCAGTAAGAGCATTTCTAGAACACTAATACTCGGTTGGAATGTCAAATAACAGACATGTGGATATAAATAAAGTCTGCTGTTTACTTCGGAAGAAAACTGTTACGTGTCAATTAGGTGAAAACTAACCAAGCAAATCAATAATCGAGCACAGTATGACAGTTATAAATTCCACTCTTCCAAGAATTATCTCTCAGTGTGACTGAATAAGAGCTTCGGTTGAAGAGGATAGGTGGCGAAAATATCTTATAAGTGGCTGTTTTAAATTTGTATCTTCCACTTTCTACAGAGGGTCGAACCCTATTAGTAGATGGGTGCCTATGAAGATGCTTCAATACTACCGGATATTCATCTCGGTGACTGATAGTGGGATCCATGACGCGCGTTTCCTCCTATTTAGGACTCGTCAGCTGATTTTATTTGCATCCTAGTGAGTGATGTTTTTCCAACTGAGACTTGAATCGAATACCTATAGCGTCAAACGATAACTGCTCAGTAGTTAACGCTTTGACGTTTGCGGAGATGTATACTCGGTTTAAGTCTCTGTAGGAATACGCAACCAATGGTCGGTCAGGATTTAAAACCACCAAAAACACTTCCTAAACATTCGGAGAACTTTAGAATATGCCTTACTTTTTGATGAAGTAACTGCTAATGATGATATCATCAAGCGCGACAAAATTTCGATACACAGAGAATACCAAATGAAAACAGCTAAATATTAAAACTGAGTATAGTCTTATCAACAATGTAGATTACATTGAAATTGTTAAAAGATATTTCAGTCTACAGGATGATTATCAACAGAATTATAGAATCTCATTGATTTATTTTGCTGCAAAACTAAAGGTTCCTTATAAAGAATTAATATTATACAGGAATGGAGACTGATGAAGATACCCAACCAACAACAATCACAACAACAACAAGTACCAATCACAATGAACCGGAGAAACGTCAAGAAAATAGCCTCTTTCACCTACTTTTGCAAGCCAGCATCGTTTAAACTACAGACGATACAGGCACGGATGAGGATGTCAAAACCAGCATCAGAAACACACCAAGACAGGCTTTCATTAAAACTGAAGATAGTATGAAGAGCTACTGTACTCAGCATGTGAAACAAGATCCGGATTTTCAACATCAATTCAGTCAAGTCAATGCTACTATATGATGGTGTAGAAACTTGGCGTGTCACGAAAACCACTTCCAACAAACTACACACATTCATCAACAGCTCCCACCTACTCTTCCCTCATACTGAAGATCAGATCACATGGTCACAATAATAAGATTAATTAACAAGAAACTCACTCTGTCTTCTTGGTAACGAACCAACCATCAACCGATCACCCAACAAATATGCAGAGGAGGAAATTGGAGATGGGGATGGATTGGGCGTACACTGAGAAGGTTGATTGGGGACATTACGCCTGATGCCAGGCCTTGCGAGTGGAATCGAAAGGGGTAACGACGAGTTTGGCTTAGTAGGTGAGGTTGACATGGAGGAGATGATGTGAGTGAGGAAGAAATGAAAGCTTGTGGGTGGTGGTTGGTTGATCGAGTTTGAAAAGACTGTGTCGAACAGAGTGTAATGGAAGCGTGTTACTAGTTGATGTGTCGATGAAGATAGTGAAACTGACCCAAACTCCGTTTTTTAAATGGTTAACGGACTCTGTTACATCCAACGTTAACATTTTTATGGAATCATTGGACATTGGTCACCTTAATGCTTATTCATATTCAACGCACATCAGAAGTTCGTGACCTTGACTAGATATCTTAGTGTCTTTGTGTTGTTTCGTTTGTGTATTACTGGATACTTTATTCCTTCATCTTACCAATTCTTCTACATCCTTCTAGAATATATATCCTATTTCTGCTAAGTTCAATTTGATTTTTAATTTTATTTCGATCTACTGGAATTCAGTATAATTTAGTTTTCATTTCTGACGAGTGTTTTACTATCATTTTAACTATTCTAAGATAGTTATGGTTTGACAGACTAGTATTGATAGTGTGCAGTGATTGAAGATGACCGCGACCGGATTCGTACTAGTCAACACCAGGTTTGCTGTCCGGTGCTCCTCCTCTCTAATTCAGCTGGATTTGGATTTAGATGATAAGTTCTGACTTAACAGCCAATATGAGTATGATCAAGTGATAGTATTACTTCACCAATTCACATGGTAGTCGGCCAAAACCCTTGGTGATTGAGGTAAAATAAAAGTGTAGTCAACAGTCGGGCTTCGTAGCTCAGTTAGTACAGCACTGGACGGGATACCTGGTGGTCGCTGGTTCGAATCCGGCCGCTTTTCGAATTTTCATTCCACCTTTAGTCATCACTCTATCAAAATGCCTTATTGTTAACATATTTACTTTATTTTTTTTGGATATGGTTTCATGCCTCTGGAATGCAAATTCTGCTAGATCCTAAATGTATACGTCTCATCATGATATCCTCTTATACTTAGAACTTCATTTTTCATTTCAGTACTGCCTTAAGATTTTTCATTAGGTCAGTTTTCTGTGTGCAATTTGATTAATCTATTCAATGATTTCTCATCAACATATTACTTTGTGTAATCTCCTTGTGGTTGATCCGGACAAGAATTTTGTCCATTTTTTCTGAACCTGTATAAAATTAATTTTGTGGTCACGGAAAAATTCACTTATATATAGACGACTTATTGCTGTTACACGGTAGAAGTTAGTCGGCAGGAAGTCCTGTTAATCTGTGTTTCATACTTTTTTGTACTCATCATTAGAGTGTGGCTTCACACTGTTTAGGTCTGGATAGTATATCAACCTTCATTTTACCGAAGGGTGCTGATATTTTATGCCATCCATTAGTTAACTTGGTTAATAGATCGTTTTTAGAGAACATCTTATCAGCTATCTGGAAAGATATTAAGATAGTCCCCGTACCTAAGTCAGGGGCTCCAGGAGCATGTTCAGATTTCAGTTACTTCTCCGTTTTTGAAAATAATGGAGAAGCTAAAATTTTCTGTTGTTAAACCCTCACTGAAGGTTTGGAGACCCTAATCAATTTTCATATAAAGGCAGAAGAAGCACTTTGGATGCCATCAATCTCTTATATCACGATATTGCTTATAGTCTTGATGAAATACCATGTCAGGTGTGCCTTTTTAGAGTATACTTAGGTATTTAATTCTGTGCCAATATCTCTTTTGCTGGACAAGCTAACCGGAACAAATACTGAGTCCTGGATAATCAGCTGGCTGTTTCCGTGAGAAGAAATGACATACTGCTCACAGGGGGAAGCACTCCACTTCATTGGTTACTGTGACTGGTGTTCCCCCTACATCCATCCTTTCCTCCTTCTTTCTGTATGACTTACCATCTTCAGCTAGTATCAAATTTACCAAACATGCTGATGAACTGATCGTTTCCATAACCATCTCCTCTTCAACAGATTGTTCTCAGCTGAATGATTTCCTATCTACTGTTAGATGATTCTCTTCAGCAAATGGTCTTGTGCTGAATTCTTCAAAATGTCAGACTATAAACTTTAGCATCATATGTAAGCAAACCTATATAAACTGCTAAGTTCCCACGACTCCTGTTCTATTAATAATTGTGCATTAGATAATGTTACAAGTGTGATTCATCTCCGTGTGCATTTTTCTTCAAACACTTCCTGATTCTCTCACATCTTACTAATTCCCAAAAACATTTTC